AGTCTTTAACAGGTCCTTAATTAAAATAATCCAAATGCCTGTAGGAGGGTGTTCTTTTTTTTAATTAACATTTAATTAAAACATTTTCAAAACACCCACAGCGATGGCAATTCACAACAATTAATTTAAAATGGCCAATGTATCAGATAAAAAAAGTGTAAATATAGACAGTATCTGTCAACGTGGGGTTATGGGCCAAACACTGACTCACTTGGTCAAATGTCAGCTAAAAAAAAATAAAACTGCTGTGAACAGGTTGGGCTGAATTTCTACAAGTGAGTCACATTTGTGGGTCACTGTTAAAGTGTGGGCCACATCCAGAAGAAGCAGAACGGTTCATTTAAAACTGTTCTGTTTCTGGGCAGCTTGAAACTTCCAGGTTCAAGTTTCAATCTGAGACCACGCCCTCATAGATTTGTGACCCCGCCCTCAGTGCTTGGTGACCCCGCCCTGTTCATCACACCTGAGGGTAATCAACAGGAGCTCCATCCACCTGCACTGTTCCACAGTCAGCAGAGAAGAAGAGGAAATGTTTGAATCTTCAAAGAAGTTAAAGCTGAAGAAGACTGACTTTAACCAAGAATGGAAGTGGCTGGTGGAGCTGCTGGAGCTGCTGGAGCTGCTGGAGAAGCCGGAGAAGCTGGAGCTGCTGGAGAAGCCGGAGAAGCTGGAGGTGCTGGAGCTGCTGGAGCTGCTGTGCACCAACCAGCAAACAAACCAGCAAACAGGACAAACGCGTGTGTATGTAAATACCATTTCCTACCACTGGGACGTGAACAGAGTCAAATCAAAGTCTTGTTACCTTCAACTTTTTTTAGGAGAAGTGATCATGGAGCAGGAAGAGGAAACAGAACCGACGGCTTTGGAACTGAGAACTCTGACAGACCAGAAGAACGAGTTCAACGTTGGACTGACCGTCTACAGGACCGGGTCCAGGACTCAAACCTCGAACCTCCTACAGCTGCAGGACAACGGTGACCGTCTGGACCAACATCTCAAAGTAGGTGAAGATTTAGTTCTTGGTCTGAGGAGGCCGCCGTGCCTCAAACCAGGGTGAGTCAAAAAGTTCTAAGACTGACGTAAAAACAAAAAATAAAACCTGAATTCATCAGAAATCTGTCTGAACATGAACAGCAGACGCTCATCTGTCTGAGGACTTTATGACTGACCCTGGTCTCTGCCCTCAGCTACTGTTTCTTCCTGTTTATATAACTCTTTGCTGTGATTGGCTGTGCTGTTCTATGAGATGTTCTGCTGTTCTGGTTCTGTGTTACACTACAGTACGCTCTTCTCTGTTACGCTGTTGTTTTGTTTTATCTGGTTCTACGCTCTCTAACTGTTGGTACTGATGTTTGTTTGACATTTGTCTCCGTTGTGAAGATGTTCTGACCCAGATGATGTTTTCAGTGGTTGCTTTTAAACAGTTCTGTTGAACTGATGGAATCAGGGATCTGATGTGTTTCTCAGCCCACTCATGTTTTTGTTGTTTACACTGAATACATTCATTACTGCTGGTCAGGAACTATAGCAGTGACAATAAGAGCCGAACAGGAAGGAAAACAGTTTTTGTCACCGTCGTCTGTGGTTAAAATCACGACAGGAACCGAGGAAAAGAACGAGAATCTCAGCTGCTTCACGACCGAGGTGAAAATGAAGTTTAAAAAAAAAACAACACAATACTTTCTGTGGTAGTAATTATCAGAGGAAGTTAAAACAATGATAATTAAAAATGTAATCACTCCAACAATGTCATGAAGACAAAAAAATCATTTAGTGAGAGCGGAGCTGACAGTGACTGTTTGAAGTCACCAAATAAACATCGTCGTTGAACGTCAGAGCGATGAAGTCGTCGCGGTGAAAACCTTCCTCCGCGTCTTCACACCGTTTCAGTCTGTGTGACATGAATCAACACAACAGCAGGGGCCGCCGTGAATACAGATGACAGAATTAACTGTAACCTTATGTCAATTTCCATGTGGTAGATTTCAGCAGAGACGGCGGGAACTGATCCAGGACCAGAGCCCGGCCTCCTGTTTAGATGCACATACATTAGAGAAAACGCTGCAGCGCCACATTTTTATCATCGGCATAATTAACAGGAGGCTGTTTGACGACGTGGTTTCTATAAAAAAAAAAAAAAACACACACCGGTGAAAGTGTGTGTGTGTGTGTGTGTCATCTGTTCAAGAACCCCTGCATTTTAGTTCTAGTGAGGTTTGTTTTTCCTGTTTCAGATCTGAAACTGCGGATCTTTAGATTATATTCTGATGAGATGCAACATCGTGAGGTCGGTGTTTTGTTTTTTTCATTGACTAGTGGCTGAACAGTGAGAAAGAGCAGAAATAGATTTATTCCCTGTTGTAACTTTTCTCTACAACTATCTGTCCTACTCTTTTATTATGAGTTAATGGTGTTAGCCATTTGTGTGCTAACCTTTAGCAAGTATGTTGTGGTGCTAACGGCTTTGTTTTAGTCTGTACGATTTTTGCTTTTATTACTTGACCTACACTAAATTAACAGAAATGACTTTGAGTTTTTCAAGTTGTCAAGTTGAATGTATACATATTTTTTGTTATTTAGAACCCAAGAAGTTTGACTTTGATTTGAATATTTGAATTTACCTCAAGTCACTTCTGCTGTGATAGAAATAAGAATAAAAATAAGTTGACCTCTGAGTCTGAGTTCACACATTCAACCATGTGCAACTACAACAGTAGGGGGCAGTGTTGTTGACTCATAGCAGATACATTCTTTAGTGTTGTCGGAGGGAAATATGGGCGAGTCCATTATTCTTTTTCCATTAATCATCAGTGTAAAAATACTTTTATCAACAACATCGACCGCAGCTCCTCAGCTCCCCCTGCAGACTGAGGAGAACTTAGGCCCCGCCCTCTCATGCCGGCCCTAGTTTAGCTACACTCTTGGGATTAATGATGGCGCTTTACAGGGGAACACTCTGCTCTAGGAGTGGGAGGGAGGTAGGGGTGGGGGGGGGCTGGTGTTCCCTCTTTGCTTTCGGGATTTGCAGCACGCGCTCGTTCCCCCATCGACGACGACCGTGCCGTAAACTCGCATATTG